AGCTGACCCAGTGCGTTTTGATTGGCCAAACACCTCCAGTGTGTGTCAGAAATGTACCATACCAGCCCTTACCATAATCAGTTTCCAAGGCTTCTGAATAATGTCGTGGGCGTTACACTCTCAGTTCGAGTCCAAGTCGGATTCTGATAAATGCAGATGATCAAGTTGAATTTTAGGTGACTTTAATTTTTTACTGATTTGTTCTATTTTGCCAACGAAAATAGTTCCACACAAATCCACAGTTGAGCCATTGTGTGTCTCAGAGCAACACAGTGATGTTTCATTGAACAAATCGGTCTAATGAACAAATCAAGGTCTAATGAATGATTCAACGACTCGCGAATAAAGAGAGTCACTTGCTTAGTCCCTGAATGAATCAGCCGTTGTGAACAAATCGTCTGACTGAACGATTCAATGACTCACTCGTTAAGACAATGATTTGGCGTGACATACTGGCTGTTTCATACGTCTTAGTATTTAATTTTAGCTGAGGGTCTGAGAGAGTGAAGAAGGTCGTGACTGTAACTGGTTAAAGAGATGCCTTTATAAATAATCTATTAAGAGTGCATAAGAAAACACTGTTAAATATATAATAAAGTAATTGCAGTCAGGGTTTTTTCCTCCGACTGTTTCTTTGACTGGTAGTGTAGTGTGTGTTAAAATGTGTTCTACAGCTCTGAAAGTGCATGTGAGTGTTGTTGTGTGTAATGTGTGTGACAGCTTTAGAGTAGTGAGTTACAGGGAAGACTTCGGCTCATACTTTATGACTTGTGTGTGAAAGCAACAGATGTGTTATCAGTGTTGGACTGGGTTTCGTCTCTCTAGAGAGCTGAGCAAGCTGAAATAAAATACAGTGTGTGTGTGTGTGTGTGTGTGTGTGTGTGTGTGTGTGTGTGTGTGTGTGTGTGTGTGTGTGTGTGTGTGTGCATCTCCACCCTGCCTCAAGAGCAGCGTAATCCTATTTAGTGAAATGATCTTATCTTCCCTCCCTCAATGACAGTGGTAGTATTATCCACTTAATCTTCCCAAATCCATTTCTCCTCATTGCCAGGATAACGACTCGAGAGCGTGAGAGCCGCCCATCCGTCATCTTTATTACGAGACGCTGCGCGGATCACATGTGTGTCTGATGACGTCATGAGAAACGTAGTTCATTTGTAGATGTAGTTCTCACATATACACCTGCCAATGGCGGCGGGTTCGAGAAGAATTAAAAGGTTGAATTGCTGTGTTTGAATCTGCATTTTGCACTATTTTTATTATCATTATTATTTTTGTCAATAAAAAATTATGATTTAGCTGTTTTTACTTGAATAGGATTTTTATTATTATTGTCCTTGAAACTATATTTTTCACTATTTTATTATAAAAAATTTGTCCCTGAAAATAGAACTATTTAGCAGTTTTTACTTTATACAGTTTGTCACTCAATTTGAAGTGGCGTCTTTCTCAAAAACGTGAAGAAACATCATGAACGCTGGACTACAAATATCTGCTTTCTAATAAACCTTATTATGTTGCAGTTCCTAATAAACTTACTAGCCATTGGCATATTAACTCACCAAAGCTCAATTTGATTCTAATTTCTAGTGTTTATATTGCAGTCTTAGACTGTTTTGAATCAGTTTTTATTTTTATATTTTAGTTAAATTTTTAGTAATTTTGTTGTGTTTTTTGTCATTGTTTTTTGTCAGCTTCAGTTTATTTTAGTAATTATTTATGGGTTTAGTTTTAGTTAACCTACAGTATTGTTGTAAAACAGTTTTCGCTCAGAAATTGCTAATTTCAAAAGCAATTACAAAGATATAATTCTGAAGTAGAAAGACTGAAATAGTATTTTTAAAGGGATCATATGATGCTCATTATAATGAGTTCATTATTTTTTTTATTTGGTATAATAGAATAGGTTAACATGCTCAAAAAACACGTGATTTTTCACATACTGTACATTATTGCAGCTCCTCTATTCCCAGTCTGTCTGAAACACTGATTTCTACAAAGCCCCGTCTTCTGAAAACCTCTGAGTACTATGATTGGCCAGCTGACCCAGTGCGTTGTGATTGGCCAGTGTTTATATTGCAGTCTTAGACTGTCTGAAAGTGTGTTTGGTGTAACGTGCCTGATCTCCTGTGTGTGAAGGTGAAGGCACAGACAGCGTTTGTTGTGGAAATATTGCCAGTGTTTCACGGTGTCTGGATTTCTCTGTGTTTACTCCCCTATTACATCACTGCGCGTCCTCACACTCAGCTGTTTACTGGTGATACGTCAATGTCATAAGATGTGATATGAGTGATATGATTTCAATGTTTTGTCTCACACAGCAATAGGGTTCAAATAAATTTTGACTAAAATATATTTTAAATGCATTCTAAATATATGTTGTAAAGAACATTTTAGTGATTCCAATTCTGCTTATCAATTCCAAGTCTTATCGATTCCCAGTTTGGATTCTAATATAGTAAAAAAAAAAAGGTTTATTAGGCTACTGTCACTTTAAGACCGAATGCACCAATCCAATAGACTGTTACACGTGCTTTTTCTTTGAACTATTTACGTTCACTTTAGACATAACTGACAGTGTTTGCAAGGATATTTTGACATCATTTTGTGTATATTTGTCCTTTCAAGAGCAAGAAAGAGAACTCAATTCAGTATTTGTGCCGAATTGCATTTTCTTGTGCTTGAATGGTTTGAAACCACTTTAAAATGTGATGAGCGGAATTGGAATTTTAATATTACAACAAATCTCCGATTCCTGACCATAAAGGATTATTTAACTTCAGAATAAAAATGTCCTGATAATTTACTCTCCCTCACGTCATTCCGAGATGTTCATGTCTTTCGTTCCTCAGTGGAAAAGAAATGAAGGTTTTTGAGGAACACACTCCAGGGGTTTCTCCATATAGTGTCTTCAATGGTCCAACGGGTCCAGATGTGAGTTTCAGTGCAGCTTCAAAGTCTCGACACGATCCAGCCGAGGAATAAGAGTCTGATCTAGACAAACCAGCGGGCATTTATAACAAAATACACATTTATATACTTTTAACCACTAATGCTGGTCTTGCTCTCGCTGTGATGCGACACACATTACGTAATCAGGTTGAAAGGTCAAGCGTGACGTAGGCGTAAGAACCGACCCAGTGTTTACAAAGCGAATGTGCAAAGACCAAGTCAAACGCCATTTACTAAATAAAAAAATAAACAGGTAAAACAACGATGTCGGATGATTTTGAAGTTGGAGGAGAAAATGAGATGAGAGTTTTTCGCTCTACTCTACATTTCTGAACCCGATCACCTTTCCGTGATTACGTAATGCGTGAAGTTGTGGACGTGCAAGACGAGCATTTGTGGTTAAAAGTATATAAATGTGTACTTTGTTATAAATGTCCGCTGGTTTGTCTAGATCAGACTCTTATTCCTCGGCTGGATCGTGTCGAGACTTTGAAGCTGCACTGAAACTCACATCTGGACCCGTTGGACCCCATTGAAGACACTATATGGAGAAAACACTGGAGTGTGTTCCTCAAAAACTTTCTTTACTTTTCCACTGAAGAAAGAAACACATGAACATCTTGGATGACGTGAGAGTAAATAAATGATGACGTGAACTACTCCTTCAAGTGTCTCGATTTTCCCTTCCTCCTCATTACCGCGGCTCTGCTTCGACGTGTGTGATTTATTTTGTTCGTGTTGCCGCAGGGATCTGTGTTAGGCCCTTTATTATTCTCAATATATATGCTGCCACTTGGTAATATTCTAAGGAAACATGGAATTAGTTTCCATTGTTATGCCGATGACACTCAAATATATATTTCATCACGGCCAGATGAATTCGCTAAATTATCCAAATTGACAGAGTGTGTTAAAGATATAAAAGATTGGATGACGCGTAATTTTCTTTTATTAAATCCAGACAAGACAGAGGTAATACTTATCGGTTCTAAAAACCGTCCACAAAACCTTTCACAGCACGACTTTAACATATTAGGATGCCCTGTTACTTTATCCGCTACTGTAAAAGACCTGAGTGTTACATTAGACTGCAACCTGTCTTTTGAAAAGCATATTTCATATGTTACAAAAACAGCCTTTTTCCACCTTAGAAACATTGCTAAGCTACGTAATATGCTATCAGTCTCTGATGGAGAAAAGTTAGTTCATGCATTCATGCCCCCGAGACTAGATTACTGTAATGCTTTATTAGCTGGTTGTCCTGCATCTTCAATAAACAAGCTACAGTTAGTCCAAAATGCAGCCGCTAGAGTTCTTACTAGATCAAGAAAATATGATCATATAACACCGATTCTATCATCACTTCATTGGTTACCAATAAAGTTCCGTATTAATTACAAGGTCTTGCTTTTGACTTATAAAGCTCTGAATGGTTTAGCTCCAGATCTTCTATCGCCCTATAATCCATCGCGCTCTTTAAGATCACTAAATTCGAGGCTTCTGGTCATTCCTAGGATATCCAGATCCACCAAAGGAGGGAGAGCATTTACACATTTAGCTCCGAAGCTCTGGAATAGGCTTCCTGATATTGTTCGTTGCTCAGACTCGTTCTCCCAGTTTAAAACTAGACTAAAGACGCATCTATTTAGCCAGGCATTCATATAAAATTTTTAATCTTACAGTTACTGTAAATTCGGCCTCTTCTTCATAAACGCCAGAGGAGAACTGGCCCCGACTGAGCCTGGGTTCTCCCAAGGTTTTTTTTTCTCCATCGGGTCACTTGATGGAGTTCTAGGACACCATCGGGTCACTTGATGGAGTTTTTCGGTTCCTTGCCACTGTTGCCTTTGGCTTGCTCAGTTGGGGATATTCAAATTAAATGACCCATCATACCACTGATCAGCTCTACCAAACTTGGATGTCTTTTCCAGTAATAAACAAACACTGTTAAGTTGTTTTGATTGATACTGTGAAGCAGCTTTGATACAATCTGTATTGTGAAAAGCGCTATATAAATATATTTGACTTGACTTGTTTGTGTTTGGCAGCGTCACAGAAACCAAAGGAACCAGGAGCCGCTGTGGCGGCGTGTGGCGAATGCGTTCTACACACTCCTGTTCGGGAGAGACGCCGACGCTCAGGACAGGAGGGCGAATCGCAGGTGAAACAAAAACTGCCATCCGTGTCCCAGTCCACATCACGGAGCGGGACGTTCAACGGCACTGTCTGGTATCTAACACGGGTTTTGAGGGGGAGAGAACGAAGAGCCTCCGCAGGACGGGGGACGGTTTTTTATGGCAACCTCTTTTCCCCCGACGAAGATGCCATGATGTTCTTGAGATTCTAACAGGAATATTTTCATAAACATGTTGAGGTATTTTGTACAGTATGCTGTTCGTGTTTAAGTTTCTTTGCACTTCCGTACGTGTATTTGAATGAGCTTCACGAGTCTTGGGAACGCCTTACCGTCCCACGCCACCGCCGAAGGGAACGGGTGAAGATTCGGATACTTTTCCTCCAGAAATCTCCCAGGACGTCACTTACAAATCTCCAAAGAGGCCGTTTCTCTGAGAAAAAAAAAAAAAAAGCTTTTTGCACCTCAGATTTCTTGGCGTTTTGATGTTCTATTTACTTTTTTATTACACCATTGTTGGATTTTTTTATTGTTCTTCCTGTTTTTAAATACTTGGGAATATGATCTAGACGTCCTTGTGTTTGTCAAGCAACCGAAGAGGTTTTGATGAAGTCAATGATGAGTTGATGTACTGCTGTTTTAATTTCATTTCATTCAGTTCTTGGCATCAGGCTAGTCAACAGCATCGAACATTACAATCCGGTAATATGGATTGGGTTTCATCATCTACGCATGATTTCGGGTGAAAACTGTTCAAGAATAGTGTGGTATCGCTTTACAATAAGGTTTCATTTGTTAACTGCATTCACTACCATGAACTAAAAATGATTCATAGTTTTAATCTCAACATTTACTAAAGATCGCAAGTTGTACCGTAGTTAATGCACTGTGAACTAATATGAACATTAACAAAGGTTAATAAATGCGGTAAGAATACACTGTAAAGAAAAATGTTTCGACTTAAAAAAGTAAGCGTTCGTGCTGCCTTAATTTTAAGTTCAGTCAACTCAAATATCCAAGTTGTCACTTAGTACTTCACATTTTAAGTTGACTAAACTTAAAGTTTTAAGGCAGTACAAAAACTTACTTTTTTAAGTTGAATAAACACATTTTTGTACGGTGTATATTGTTAATCACTGTAAAAAAAAACTTTCTGCCTTAAATGAAGTACAATCAACTTGGATGTTTAAGTCATTTCAACTTAAATTACATTAAACTGACTTTAGTTGAATCTTGTATAACTTATGACAAAAAGTTGAAAATTGCTTAACTTATTTTGATGAGTTTAAGCAAAGTAAAAACATATTGTCATAACTTATTGATCATATAATTGTTTACAGTGTAGTTAATGTATTAACTAATGTTAACAAATGAGATCTTGTAAAGTGTTACCAATACGGTTTTATCAGGCCTTAAAAATTCACCAAATTTTTGTCAATATTAGATTAAACGGTAACACTTTTCAGCATTAGTTAATACAAACTAACAAAGCATATTAGAAGTAACACATTAATAAAATCAAAATCAATGCACCATTAACTAACTATAAATAGTGATTATTATTACCCAACGTTAACAAAGATAAATAAAGCGTGACAAATGTATTGCTCATTGTTAGTTGATGCACTAATGGGACCTTATTGTATAAACGTTTAGCAAAAGCGTTGACTTTACGTCTCCGACTCACTCAGGTACTTCAATCCACTCCATTTAAAATGGCCAATAGATACAAACCTGTTTCACATATGGAAGATCATCTCTGTGCCTACGACGTGAAGCGAACGACCTAGACTGTGTTTACACTAACATACAGCACACATATCAGCCTCAGCCTTATTGTAGTCGTCGTCGGCTCTCTTCATATGTCATTTAGTTTTTATATATCATCTTAAACTGTGGTTCTCTTCGTCCTGGCCATCGGTGTCATGGCCTGCGAGCAATACTGTGTACATCTGAGAAGCGACTGCATTACTTCTCCTCTCAGGACACTTGGCGCTTTCCATTTCCCTGTTTTATTTCTACTTTTATATCTGTCAGGTGATCTGTACAGGTTTGGTGGTGTACATTTCTTTTCTTTTTTTTAAATAGAACCACTACTTTATTTGTAAAAGACGTGAGGAAGAACTTCTTCTGAAGACTGTAATTATTATGTTTGAAGACACTGATGCATTCAATGCTGTTTCTCTGATTAGTCTGTTCTGTATTTTATTTTTATTTTTTTTCATCTTGAAGGAGTGACACACATTTTGTGAAATTGTTCCCGCCAACATGCAGTTCGTTCATTTAAAACCAGAGATGTTGGCAGAATCATTAAATGAAGGAAAGCATACACGTTTTTTTTAATAATTTCCGAAGACAATACCGATGAAAGTGCTCATCGTTTATCAGAGCCGTGTCAAATATTGAAATCCAGTGACATTCAGCTCATATTTTCACCCCAATAATCAAAAGAAAGAAGCAAGAATCTGATTTTTAGGGGCGTTTAGTTTCATTACTTGAAATGAAATGAAATACAAAATGCTAGTTATGTTATTTCAGCCAGTTCCCAAAGCAACATTTGAATTTAGTGTAACTTTATGCACTAAAATAACTAAAACTAAAATAAAAAAAATGATAAAAGACTATTAAAAATGACAACAAAATTACTTTTTAAAAAAACTTTAACTAAAATTCAAAATGAAAGTGTAAAACCAGATATTAATAAATACTAAAAATATCTCAAAGATACTAAAATAATACTTTAATTTGTTGTAAGTATACATCATGGTAGCAATTTCTCTACCGCCTTTTAATTGATGAGGTTTATTTTATGCTTTTAATATTTGTTTTCTCCCTAATGTACATGGGGAGTAGTAAATTGATTATTTAATTGAATGAATCACTGAAATACAGTATTGAATTGAATACAGAACAATTGCCAAGTCTATTTATTTCTATAGTGCTTTCAGTAATACACAGGAAAATCAATGGTGCAAATTCAAGTTCTTCCGTAACAAAAAAAAAAAAAAGTGTCTTTATTCGATTCAATTTTCATGACAATAATAACAATGTCAATGCAAAGTAATGAAAAATGGCTTCTTTGTTGAAGGCATGTACACTCTAAAACATCCTGGGTTGTTTCTACCCAAATTTGGGTCAAAAATGGGTTAAGTTTTTCATATAAATGCTTTACCCAACGGTTGGGTTTGTCCATATTTGACCCAAATTTGGGTTGAAACAAGTGTAACTTCTGATTGTGAGGTGTAATATGACTGGGAGTAGATTACAGGTACAGTGTGTTTCTCTGTTGAATGTTGCTCGAGGTGAACGTGAGATTCCTGCAGATCGTGAACGCTGAGCCAGAGCCACTCGTCCGCCTCTTCTAGCCCGTATGTGCACTCCTTATTTATTTTTTTCTTATTTATTTTATTCCTTTTTTTATGTGTATATCGACTCGTTGCTACTGTATACATTTCACTGTGCAATTCCTTTCTTTATATGCCTTGATACTAATGTTTTTTGTTGTGCATTTCTCGCGTTTTGTTGTGTTGCTGAAGGAGGTTTAGGAGGATTTTAATCTCCAGAAATCTGGTCACTGTTGTTCTGTTTGTTCAAATCAACAAAGTGCCATCAGAAGAATCCGGAGAGATTATTTTGTATAAGTACGTATTATGTAAAATCAGGTGAATCTCACGGAAACATGTCCAGGTTGTGTTTTTTTCCTGTCCAAAATCGACCAGAATAGGTTCAATTTAAATAAATTACATTGATTAATCAAAATATATTTTAAACCATGCATGGTCTGTCTGAATACTCGATTCTGATTGGCTGAAATAAAACCGTTTAATGCACAAGTAGTTCCAGTCGGTTTAATCACTGTTCTATATTAATGCGCTGCTTTCATTGAAGCACACACACACACACACACACCGATCGGATCGCGCTGCGCTCACACAGAAACATTCACAAGCACAGAAACTTCTTTTCAATGCTGTCCGTGACTTTTATTAATAAATGAACTTCTCTGCTACTGAATTGCTATGTTATATGACTCAGCAAGGAGGTTGTAACATTGCTGTTTTTGAAGTAATTCAACTTACAACTTCTTTACTAAAGACTCTCTCGATTAGCCTAATAAATCCAAATAAATGTTATAATTCATATAAAGGTAACCCATACTGCACTACTTAATCTGTGTGTGTGTGTGATTTAAAGCGGACAGAACATTACATCAAATTTAGCCCTGCAAACGTTATGTCTTGACTTAAAAACCACTTAAATTGACATAAAGCATGTTTTTAGGTTACTTGAAAACATATTCAGACCCAAACGAGTCTTAAAGTGAGAGTATAAAGCTATAAATTGATGGTTTCGTGAGATATTTGACCTTTGATCGCAGACTTTGGATTCTTGAGACCTATAGTTCTAACTAAACACACGCTTTTCTTCTGATTTTAGGGTAAAATATGACCTGGACATGTTTGTTATGCGTCTCTCGTGAGCTTCACTCAATCTTTTCATGAGACGAATGAGGAAAATCTGATGATGAATTTGCTTCTGAGGGTCTAAAACCTTATTCAATCGTCCCAGTATCCTAAAGATCTGCTGAAATCAATCAGAATCCCAGTACAACTGGAGGTTTTTGAAGACGAGCACAGCTGTGTTAATGAAGTGCTTCATCATCTCGGTTTCTCTCTTTTTACATGCACTGGAAAGTACTTTGTGTTTGGTTGAATCTCAAGGGTTCTCGAATCCCAGTGTTAGTCGCTCGTCTCAAGGTCTTGAGATGTCAGGAATATATTTTTGTCTTGGATGTTTTTAACAAGCCTGTATTAGTCTGAGATCAACAACCCATGATGAAGCCAACAGTGTCTTTAACTGTATTTCACTCCATCTTTGTTTTGTTTTTGCTGTTTTGTAAGTTGATATCGACTGCTATTGTTGGGGATTTTCTCACTGAATTGGTGGCTTTTTGAAGGCAGATGTTTTCCACATCAAGGCCTCTTTTTAATCTTAAAACATTCCTTGTTAGTCTTCAATGAATCTACAGCTTCAATGATTTACATTGAAATGAACCCGTTCAGAAAGCCATTTATTGTAAGTAATGTATATCTTTCGTTCGTGCGAGGCTCACACACTCACTGTACACCGAGAAATGAGACCCAGCGAAGATGTAGCATGTGTGTAAACATTGGGACTGTACTCTCGGCACTCCTCACGGTGGTTTTCTTTCTGCTTTTAATACAGTATGGAAGTTTTAGGTTTTGTTATATAGTGCAATATGCTGTACATAAGAGCTTTGCTCTACAAAATACTTTTCTGAAGTTTTTTTTGGTTGTTTCATTGGTACACTTTTTTCAATAAAATCATATTAAAGTCTGAACGTTTCTGAATCATTATTATTTCTAGCTAGTAACACTATAAGTTGACCAAGCTCAGCTCTTAAGTATAGATGTATAGTGCTTTTTAATTGTTTGCTT